CTGTGCTGGTCAGACAGCAAATGCTGACAAGAGACTTGTGGTCTCCAGTTAGTGAAATAATTAGATGTTTGAGGAAAGCCGGCACACACCCTGACCCCTGACTAATTATATGATGGTAATGTAGGCGATGGTGAAGGAAATGAGAACACATTCAGCCAGGAGCATCAGCAACAAGAGACCACAGCCACAAGGAGTGTACACTCTGCCAGTGGTCGGTACCTTTTCAGATTCGGGAATGAGCTGTGAGAAACACTTATTGTCATGCTGAGCTGGCAACAGCAGGAATTTAAGCACCAGAGAGAAAGACAAGTGCCACACTTCAAACTCGCTGGTAGGGGGAAGGTGGTGCCAGGAGACCGGGGAACTGAAAAGGTGACAGACCTGCTCTGGAAAGGCGGCAAAGATAATCCCAGCAACGGCACACCAGTCAGTTTAAAGAGTGGCGTGGCGTTCCTTGTGGGAACAAACCTTTTGGATTGAAATTAGCCAGCAACGTGGACAGAGGTGAGCCGGTAATAAGTCAGATACTTTAGAGACTTTTAAGCGACTCTTGGATAGGCGCGTGGAGGATAGTAAAATGTAGGGTACGCAGGGTAGATTGATCTTAGAGTAGGATAATAGGTCGGCACAACATCGTGGGCCAAAGGGCCTGTGCTGTGCTGTACTGTTCTACGTTGTATGTTCTAATGAGGAGGTGGCTTTCTAAAGGGAGGATATTATTCCAACAAACTTTGCTGGAATGTTGTTTCGGTTTTGAAAGGGGTGATGGGGTGCACTCGGATTTCCAGAAAGAGTTTGACGCAGCATGTAACTGCTGCGCAACAGGCTTGGGAGGAAAATTATCCCTTTGCGCTATAAGAGGGACAACAGCAATGTGGATACGAGATTGTCCGAGCAACAGGAGACCGAGAATAATGGCCAGTGGGTTTCTTTTTACTCAGGCCAGAGGGAGGTTTGCAGCCGAGTTCCTCAGGGACCAGTGTCGCTTTTCCTGACATTGACTAACGATCGGGATCTTGCTGTACAGGGGACAATTTCCAAGTTTGCAGCTGGCACAAAACATTTTCACACAGAGGGTGGTGCGTGTATGGAATGAGCTGCCAGAGGAAGTGGTGGAGGCTGGTACAATTACAACATTTAAAAGGCATGAATAGGAAGGGTTTAGAGGGGTAGGGGCCAAATGCTGGCAAATGGGACTGGATTAATTTAGGATATCTGGGTCAGCATGGACAGGTTGGACCGAAGGGTCTGTTTCTGTGCTGTACTGTTCTAAGGCTGTATGGGGAGGATTGTAAACTGAGGGGGTGTGGGGGGTCAGTGCAGAGCTCCAAAAGGACAATGATAAGTGGGGAGAGAGTGGGGAGAGAGGGGGCAGAGATGGGGCAGAGAGGGGGCGGGGGGGGGGAGGGGGGGCGGATGAGGTTCAATAAAGAGCATTGGGTGTTGATGTACTTTGATGGAAAGGACATTGAGAGACAATATAAAACGGGGAGGGTGCAATTCTGAAGGGGGTGCGGCAGGAGCAGGGGGGAACTGGGGGTCTCTGTACACAGATCACTGAAGGTGACAGGAAAGGTAGAGAGAGAGCAGTGAATAAAGCACACAGTGCCCTCAGCTTTATTAACAGGGGCACAGAGTACAGGAGCAAGGAGGTGGTGCTGAACTTGTACAAGACCCGTGTTAGACCCCCAGCTGGAGTATAGTGTCCAGTTGTGGGCCCCACATTATGGGAAAGATGTGGACCCATCGGAGAGAGAGTGCAGAAGCGATTTACAA